GGATTACCTACAAAGGAGTGAGAGTCAGATCAAAAGGGTACTGCTCATCAACCAAAGCAGTCTCAAGAAAATAATGGAATAGCTCAGAAATGTTCAGGAAAAATCTATTTGAACTTAGAGTTCTATAACAAGCCAAGCTAACATGCAGAGAGAGAGAGAGAGAGAGCAAAATACCTTCTCAGACACACCAGCCCTTAGAAAAATGTATTACCCACTCTGATGGAGAAGGGAGGAAAAGCAAAAGAAAATCCACCAAAGATGTGCTCCAGCAGGAAGAAAAATGAATCCAAAAGGTAATCATGGGCTATAAGCAGTAAAGGAGAATGCATTCATGTTTTATTTTTGTAATTAGAAAGTAATCTTTTTCCAAAGGTTGGGGAGAAAAGATACTGATAATTATTTGTGTTTATTTCTATTCCATTTTACCTTTGCATAATATGTCACTATAGTTTACAAAGTGCTTTCCTATAAATTTCCAGTAGCCAGAATCACAGGACCTACAAAAATGTTTTAAGAGGGCTATGTTAGGACAAATATTAATTCCAATAAAACTTGGAAATGTGATCTCTGAGTCTAGTAAGATATTTCTTGCCATGGACACTGGCTGGCTTCTACAATCATTATGATGACAACATCACTGGGTTTAAGAAGGATTGATGAACATGAAATTTAGCAGACTTCTTTTTTTCTTTTAACTCTGCTACCAAGTTGAACTAGATTATGGACTGGTAGAGAAGCAGATGAATGGAGGGAAGAACTATAATAGTTCAGATGGGCTGATGCGTTCAAAAGGAACTCACGAGATGTTCAGGCTCTGAGGTTTATGAACTAGACAGGACTCTCGCCACCAGGGTGTGTCAGGGAGGCCACTATTCTGCCCAGGAGGCCTTCTAATGACAGATCCTAGGTTCCCCAAAGGCGCCTGTTGAGAGGCTCATGGTGCTATTGCCTATGTCATAGGCCATGAATTTAGGGCTTGGAATCTCTCACTTGAACTTTTTTACACCATCCCTGATGTGTGCCAGAAAAAGAGCAGCTGCCAAAAAGCAGACATTTTCCTGTCTCTAAAAATAAAACACTGGCAACGCTTCAGGCTCCTGTGCCAAGACCTGGCCCTTCCCAGGATAAACAATAGATCGCCAAGCCGATCGGAGAGCAAATACTGAGGCCTGAAGTATGTCTAAGTCCAGCCTGAAATGCCTAGGTCAGGACATGTGCACTCGAAAGCCAGGAAGCCAGAGAAGGCCCTCCCTCCTCCGCAGCTGATGGAGGGCAGCTGTTGCACCCAGCCATGGACCAGGTGTGGCTGAGTGGAGGCCTCAGGTTACACCCAGACCTTGACCCAGCTGAGGTCACAGAGTCCCTATCAGGTCCCGCCCCTAGAGCCCTGGAGTGCATGGTGACAGATCTGAAGGCCTGTGAGATCCTGTCCGGAGAAAGCTCCCTGGGAAGGGAAGAGTTTCAAAAGCATCCCTCTACATTCGTCACTCAGGGCTGTGCTCGTCACCTGTCAAAACCCCTCATGCCCAGCTGAGAGCCCTCACCTGCTAGATACAGGACAGCAAAACCTCCTGAATATAGGAATGCTATAGTAACAGCGTTCCCACTCTAATTGCCTCCCAATTCATCAAATCCTTCTACAGCACGTGTTCAAGCCCCTGTGCCTTGTCATTAGGGTTCAAACCTTCCAGACCACAGCTTGGCTTTTTGCTGGTTTGGGGACTTAAGAAGGCTAAGAGGGGGTTAGGGGAGGAGAGGGCCTAAATATAGCAAATATTTGCAGGCATAATCACTCCATAAACATGCTTCAGTGGAACAGAGTGTAGGGCCGACCCAGATGACGGATGTCACTCACCCAAGTGTCACATCATAAATAAAATTGAATGAGCCCATTCTCTCGCAGAACCAGAGTGACGCCTGTTCCCACTATAAATATTTATGAAGTCATCGTCCTTAAAAGACTTTATTTTTCCAGGTAAGTAGACTTTAAGGAAAAAGTTAAGCAGAGCTTTGCCTGCAATTATGGAATAGTCACCATAGCTTTTCAATGGGTAGTCCATGGAAAGGAAAAGAAAAAGAGAAAGAAGATAAGGAAACACAAGACCCTGTTCCATGGGGCTTCTGCACAGAGATCTCATTTATGCCAGTCAAAGTTCATTCTCATTCAAAAAGTGACAGCCTTCTCTGGGAAGAAGAAACCAGAAGCAGAAACCAGAAGAAGCCCTATCAGTCCCGTTTCACCCAGGCCTGCGCAATGAAGGGGACGCAAACAGATTCTTGTCACCCAAATTCCAACCCCTCCCACCACCTCTGCTAGGAGGGACAATTCTCCTTTGCATTCTCACTCTCCCAGTCTGTCTCTTAGTAACAGAAAAAATGTACACCTCACCCCATTACTATGCTCATTTGAAAAGAATTCTCAGAATGTGAGGATGTGTGTCTGGGTGGCTCTCTGGGTGTTTATGCAAAGTCTACTACTTTTGCCCGTAGTTACTCTTCCTGATTGCATGAGGAATGGCACCTCGGAAACCTTACTGGCATCTGACAAGCTTTTCCTGTGCTCCATGCACTCAGGAGGAGCAAACACCTCCTCCGGGCTTAGGAGCACTCCAATAGTCCCCTTCTCCAAGGCACTGTGGCAGTCCAGCGACCTGGAACTCTCAAGACATTGTCTCCACTACAATACATGCTAATTTTCATGTCACGTTGCAACTTCCATGTTACTCATCTCCTGACTGCACTAAAGCCCTCGCCCAAGTCCATCAAGCCTGTTTCTTTCCCAGGGATGGCCTTGTGCCTGGGCTCTCTTCCCCTCCAAACTCCGGGGTGGCCCCTGCTTTATCAGACTGAACTGGCTCTGGAGCTCTAGGAGAAAAGTTGATGATCATCTTGCTTTAGCCTCCGGGAAATCTTGCTCCACAAAGAACAAGAGTCCCTGGTTTTGTGAAATGAGTCACAGGCTGCCTTGGCCATGCCTATCTGGGGAGGCCAGGGCTGCCATGTATGGTCTGTGCTCTGTGCCACCCACCTCTCACTGTCAGCCCAAGCCCTTTGCCAGGACAGCCTGAGTCATAAAACTCAGCACATTCCTCAAGGGTTGGATAGTCTTTCCTTGTTATTACTTTGCTTTTGTTTTATGCAGCACCTGGTTTCGTTTTAAAAACCCAAATAAAAATCACACGGGCAGGGCGGGAGTGGGGAAATAGGAAGAAAAGCAAAGGGCTCTAACTCCCCAAACAGGGAGGCACAGAGCAGGACAGAGACGGGACTGCAGCTGAGGGGCTGGGGAGAGCTAGGATGTGCCACTAATGAATTGATTTGATCACAATCTTCCTTGCTGTATATGATAAAGCATTTGATGCCCAGGTCTCTTCCCCACCCTCCCATCCCCAAATTAGGCCGCAGTACAGTACTCATCAGTCATGTGACCTTCCCGAAGCCCCTCCACTTTCTGAGTGTCCTCAATCAATGGACATACATCTCGGATGAATCCTAAGGAACATTCTAGTTACAACACTCTGAGTCTATGAACCTGCCGGTTCCCTTTTTCTTGGATACAAGCCCTAACCCACGTGTGAGGGAATATGTTTCCACAAGCAAACACTTGCTCTTTGCCTTTTGGGGATTAAGGAATGGGGGATAGACAAGCAAGAAGCTGTAGACCCCACCACACCAATGCTGCTGGTCAAATTGAACTTCTGCGGCCAGGTTACTGTTGCAACTCATCTGTAAAGCTGTTAAGACTTCATTTTTAGAATTAAAACAGAATTCTAATCAGCTATCCCTTGCATATAGTAAAAAACAAATGATGAATTAATGATAACCATTACCTTAGAGAACTGTATTTTACTGGACCAGGAAAAGCCAGGAAGTTAAGAGATTAAAACCTGGATCATGAGGTACTAGACTCGGAACCTCAACAAAGGCCTTTCTCTCCTACTGCCTGAGATGTCTACAGGGGCTGGCCAGAGCAAAACTCCGGAGGTTCCTGAGTGGCTGCAGGGCTGCCTTTTCAACGCATACTTTTGGAGAGCCTAATGGAAACCATACGAAGGTTGCCGGGAATCAGACCAGATGGCTCCCGGGGAATGTATTTAACCCAACCTAGGGCTAAGAGACAAAAATAATCACTAGGAGTTTGGGGGACGGGAGGCAGGGGTGGTGCTGCGACTTTTAATTGTATTTTCTATTCAACAAAAATCCTAAGAGAAGGACGGTCTTGGTAACTGGGAGTAAATGGAAGGGGGTGTGGGGGGCAGAAAGCGGGGACTGGGGAGGAAGAGGGGGTAGGAGGTGGCTACTTCAGTAAACCAAACACCGTTCTGCCTTTCCTCGGAAGTCGGCGGCTGCCGGGGCCCTTTGCGGGCCTGACGGCAGCGGGCTCCTTCCCGCGCCCCGGGTCACCGCGCAGCCCCTGCCCCTCCCGGTCCCTCCTCCCGCGCGCTCTGCGGGGACGACGAGGCGGGCGGTAGCGGGGAGAATCAGCAGGAGGAGGGTCGCGAAGAGAGGAGGTGGGTCGTAGGCGGTGGAGGCGGCCCGTGGACGCTAGAGGAGGAGGATCGTGGAGAGAGCCAGAGGATCGCGGAGAGAGGAGGTGGGCCGTGCAGGAAGGAGGAGGTGGCCGCTCCGGCGGGCCGGGAGGAGCGGGAAGAGGCGGACGGGGGAGGGGAGGGGCAGGCGGCGGGTCGGCGGGCCGTGGGCGCGGCTCCGGGGGCGCGGGCAGCCTACCGAGACAGCCAGGGCGGGAGGGCCGCGACCCCGCCCCGACAGTCGAAGCCAATTCGCTTCCCGGCGGCGCCTTGCGCGGAGGAAAACCTGGCGGTGGAAGGCTCCGGCTCTGCTGGGTGACCGCTCTGAATACAAAGAACCTTTCTCACGCCCCTGCGCCCTTCCCCGGGGCTCCCAGATACAAGGGACAGGCTCTGTGACGCCGGAGCCCACGACGGTCGGGGCCGCAGCACCATTTCTGTGGTTCCTGTGGATAAATGTGGTCCCAAGTATTTATTTAAAAAGGAAAGTTTAATAAAGATTATAACGAGTTTTGTCTCTCACCACCAAGTAAAAAGGGAACAAATTGAGAAATGAAGCCCATGGAATCGTCCCAGAAAGCCAACCTGCCAGGGTCCAGATGTTCCTGGGCAGGGGGGTGTTGGGGGGCCCCCATACCTCAAAGTTGTTTATTAAGCAAACTCCACGCCTCCAGCACTGTGGCTTCGTTTTCCAACTCAGTTAAATGGCGATGAGGGTCCTCCCCAGCCATAATCAGAGTATCGATCAGCTTCTGAATCCTCAGATGAGCCAACCTTGCTTTCAGAATCGCACCGTCCATGAAGCTGGAGAAAAATGGGCTGGTTGTCAACACTCGCTCATCTGCAAAGGTCACTTTTCCACAGAATTGGGAATTAAATGGTCTCTTCCAAACCAGACATCATTCATGAGCAGGAGATGGGATTGATCCTGCATTTTCTTCCATCTCTCTTAACCCTCCTGTTTAATATATTGTATCTCTGTCAGGAAGGCCAGATTAATAAAGCGGGAGAGAAAAAGGGCAGGAACTCTTGCAATCCCTAACCGGCCCCCACTGCTTCTCTGGTAAGATTCTTTCCAGGTTTCCCTAATTCCTCTAGTCCCCACATTCCTGGATGTGAATGCTCTGCTTTCCAGTTTCCATCAGGAACTTCTTCAAGATAGGACACAGGAATATAAATACTTAGAGAATGGTTACCAAAGGCACTACCCAGCAAGCAAGTACTTTCAAAACTAAGAATAGTGTTAATGATCGTTGAAAATTTCATTCAATCTCTACTTATTGCTTTGATGCAGGAAATCGGGCATTTATATATCTCAGTGCTTGTTCTCCTTCAAAGTATAAAATTTAAAAATATTAAGATTTGCCTTGTCTCATAAATAAAAAGTCATGATTTATTTATTTATTTTTTTTTTGGTCAGGACTCTAGGTCCAAGGTTTTCCAAATATGCGCCGCATATTAATTGTGGGGGGGTGTGTGTGTGCACATGCATGTACTTTTAGTCTGTTATTGCACCACAAAAACAAGAGCAGGATGTAATGTCATTTATTTGTTGGGAATGGTTGACTTAAAAGCGGCTACTTTGAGTATAGAGAATTCCCTTTCTGGGAGGGGTTGGGGAAGAACCTTACAGAGAGAAGCAACTGTTCCCCCAGAACAGCTGCAGACACTGATTGGCAATGGAATTGCTTGGCACCAGTACAATTCCATGTAGGCAAGAGGGATTTATTTATTTAACAATAGTTAATGATTCTCCCAAGCAACTCCCAAGAGGCCAGCTTTCAGTAAATGTACTTTCAGGAAATCATCTACCCTTCCTAGAAGCAGGCATCAACCCTACAGTGAAGGGATGTCCCTGGTTGACCACACAATATAACTTTCAGGGGACCACACAGCTACAAACACCCCCAAACAACTCCCTCCACAGTCTGCCACCGCACTGGCTTTCCATGTTTGAAATGCTCCCTGGGAACATTATCAGGTCCTAAGCAGAAAAGTCGAGAAAAACGGCACCATTTCTGGAAGACCATCATTAAAATAGACAAGTCGCCTGGGAACCAGCGCGGGTCATTCAACCCTCTCCCATTAGCGAAATGTATCAGATTTGCTAGTTAATGCCCAAAGACCAGCATTTCCAAAGTGAAATGTATGTATAACTGGTGGTTCTTGTGATACTGTTAGGTAGTACTTGCATAACATTTTTCACTTTAATGGTCAGAGTTTTTTTTTTTTTTTCCCTAACACACATAACGAGAATATCAAACCCATGGTATAATGAACATAATTACTTTGGATGAGTCTGAGTTTTTTTTAAGTTAAACAGAAATCTTAATAAAGTAATAGAATAGCAAAAATAGTTGTAACTTCTATGCAGAAACCAGTTTTTATTCTTTCAACTTACTCTGTAAGAGTCTCTGCTAGAAATACAAGACATAAAAAGAATCCCATTTTAACAATCTGTTTAAAAGCCCTGGGTTTTGAGAAAGTCTAATCAGGAAGGAGAGAATCCCTGGTCTGGAGGGTCATTTCGGGGAAGCAGGGACGGAAGATGATGGGTGGCAGGACAGGCACATGGGGAGGGAAACTCTGGCCACTAGGCACCCAGGGTGGATACGCGGCAGGGCAGGACTATCGGAGAACTCCCTTTTTCACAACAGGCAGAACCCAGCAACTCACCGAAGAAAATTCGGACAGTACAATAGAAATTCCAACTGCTGTAAGCCTCTTAAGGGCTTGTTTCCAAAACAGCTGTGGAGAGATCCACCCAAAAAACTATTCATGATGCTTTAAGAAAGACTTTATCTTATCAGAACAGCTCCGCTTTTTGCCTGATTGTAACTTAGGGAATACTTTTATACCAACTCTAAACATACACAGGCCACCACCCCTGCTGCCATGTAGAGACACTCAGAACCCCACTTCCTGACTCTCCCCCAGAGATCCACTGTTGTAGGGCAAGTAGAAAGATGCTTACATGCTTTAGCACACCTTTCCCTCGTCGACTGTAGTTTATCAGGGCCTCCTGTGCTAGCTTTTTAGGTCTTACACCTAGGGTGAAGAGATAGCCAATATATGAGTGTGTGTGATAAACAGAGTCTACCATAAGTGAAATTTCCTGACATTCCCAAACATTGTTTTAAATCAATAGATCCAAATCTTTACATATGCAGCCCCTGCCTCTGCCACCAGTATGAGTGGCAAATGCCTCTTGCATTTCTCCCTCCTGTTATTCCTGCATCCTACCTTTTGTATTGTTAGGAGAGATAAAATGATGTAACAATGTGGGTGCCAGGAGGAAGGAAGCAGAAACGCAAAAGGTGTGGAAATATCACATGAAGACCACTATTAAAATAAAGGCCAGAAAATGGATATAAAGTAGTAGTTTAGGATGGGACTTACAGTATTTTCCATAATTTGGAGGTGTTGGAAAACAATCACCAAAATCCCAAATTTGATGTGCCTATAAAAAAAAGAGATAGAAATAAATACCAACCACTTTCATAATAATAGAAATCTAATAAAATTCATTTTCCCAACATTGCTCCTCCCCACCCCTGCATTCAGAAAGCACTGATACTGCTGTCAGAAGCCACCACTGTGAGTGCAGTGTAGTTTCAGCCACTCGGGAGGCCGAGGCAGAAGATTGTTTAAGCCCAGGAGTTCAAGGCCAGCCTGGGCAACACAGCAAGACCCTGTCTCAAAAAAAAAAAAAAAAAAAAAGCCACCACTGTAATAACAAACAATAACAGTAAAATATAGACAAAAGAGTACAATTCTAATATGAAAATACCATATGCAAATCAATTTAAAAAAGCTAAACACCCTAGTAGGAAAATGGACAAAGGAAATATACTATCATTATCATTCAAATATAATTATTCACGAATTTGTATTTGCAAATTCACCTACTTGCTAAAATGTATTTGTAAATTAATTAAGCTCCATTCTGGCATTAGTTATAGTGCTGTTAGCCATGAGTTCAATGTTAATAAATTAACAACATATATTAAGTGTCTTTAAACAGAAACATACGTAAAAACAAAATTATATATTGATCAGTCGGCAAAGATGCAGTGACTGGAGGCTCCCAGGAATCTAACCTTATATTTCCTTTAGGAACAATGGTTCAGTATTCCTTAATTCAGTATTCATGGTGATTTTACAAAATATAACCACAAATAGTGAGAATCAATTACAATTCATGAAAGAACTATGAATGATGAATAAACATAGGAGGAGATGCTTGACTTCACTAATAAATAAAATTAAAAGAAAATTGAGCTATCTTCATCTATCAAGTTGGAAAACATCAAGATTATATTTTAAAGCTAGTGTTAGAGAGGATATAGGAAAACAGGCACTCTCACGCACTACTGGGTCACGAAGCCAATTTTCGGGAAGGCAGTTTGGCCATTTGTAAAATAAGTATACTTTTGACCCAAGAATTCCTCTTATGCGAACGTACCCTGAAGAGATGATTTTACAGCTGCAAAAACGTATATTCAAATTTTGTTGATCACAGCATGGGTTACAGTAGTTATAAGTTAGAAAACCTTAAATGCCTCCTTATATGGCATATGTGTATATACATATATATATATATATATATATATA